TAGGTGCCATAAAATTCTTTGGTTCAGAATTTCACAGATCCAACCCCACAAAATCTGGACTGCACATTTATTTATCTCAATCTATAACAAGATAGAAAAAACAATATGTGATTCAGAAAAACACATGGCCTTGATTCTCATGTAAATATTGCAGAAGTTCAATTAACTATATACTGACTTGATCTCATGTAAATATATATTGCAGAAGTTCAATTTACTACGGCTTTGTTTGGGATCGGTGTAGTCTAGTCCAGACATGTTCTTGAACAGTAGAGGAAACTGGAATGCACATATGAAGATGAAGAATTTACAGTTGCAGATGTTTAATTGTGTGAATATGATTGAAGCACATGTGTGCTATCCTCTTACGTCTGAATAAATATGCCCAATCACACGTGCTATATGCAATCACTACAAAGGTCTGTGATTGCGGTCATCAACTATGATTACAGTTTTATTCAAAACTCATCATACAAATTGGAACATGGAATCATTACTCGCCACACCTAAAATACGTAAGCAATAGTACTTGAAATGACTTGTATATATATATATATATATATATATATATATATATTATGTATGGTGCATGGTAGGTACAAGACCCAAGACCACAAAGAAAAAAGAAAAGTGGGATTTGGTAAAATTATTATATGTTTTTTTTTTTTTTTTTTTTAAGTTTAGGAAATTGGAGCAACAGTTTCCAAAGAAGAGGATTGTAGATATGGCATGCACTGAAAGTAGATAATATTGTAATGTGAGTTAGTTTTTTCAACATTCTCTACCACTTAAAGACGACGGCATTCACTTGTTTCTCTCACTCCCCCAATTAATATCCGTATCTTGAAAAGTAAAGAGTTCCATTTTCAAGTTTTGGGATTGGAGGAATCTTTTTTCATTCCTCTCCCTCTCTCACTTTATAGAAAATAAAGTTTGAGAGAGAGCACCGAAAAGCATAGACACCTTATCATGAAAGCAAGAAAAAAACGACCGATGAGACGGGCCAACCCACACGCATATACTCACACTCACACAAACCCACACGCTCATTTACAATTATGAAATTATTTCTCTCTTTGTGTGTTCCCTCTATTCACATTTCTACTGCTTTCTTTATCACTCTCCCTCTGTGTTTAAGTTACGTGTCTCTTTCTCTTTTTCTTTCTTTCTTTCTTTCTTTTTTTTTTTTTTTGGACAATTATCATTTAAAGTTAATATGGAAACCCAAGTCAACCTCACCTCATCATTTGGTCTTGGTTCTTCTAAGCACCACCTCATATCCACTTTCTTTACTTTAACTCTTATTCATTTTCCTATATAATCACCACTCTCTATCGTTCAGTCCTTCACCATGGGAAGCATGAAGGTGCATCAGTTGGCACGTGGATTCTGGGAGCACGAACCATCCCTTACGCTTGGCTGCAAGCGTTTACGCCCTCTTGCTCCCAAGCTGGCAAACACAGACACTACTGTCACTGCTTTCGATCTCAAGACCTTCATTCGACCAGAAAGTGGTCCTAGAAAACTTGGATCTTCTGACGACAAGAGAAATTCTCCTCAGGTGATGACTCCATCTCAATTCTCCATTTTTCATACTTATCCCTTCATTATTTCATGTTCTCAGCATATTAGTTAACTACTGAAACATGCAACATCAAAAGAGATTCTATATACTATGAATAAAATAACTCAAAGCCAAAAGATATAAATTAAACATAAAATCTAGGAGTAAACTGAATAAACAAGTGATACAGCAGGTGGAAACGCACCCTGGAGGAACACGGTGGAATCCAACACAAGAACAAATAGGAATTCTGGAGATGCTGTATAGGGGAGGAATGCGAACTCCGAATGCACAACAAATAGAACAAATCACATCACAGCTAGGGAAGTACGGGAAGATAGAAGGAAAGAATGTGTTCTACTGGTTTCAAAACCACAAAGCCCGTGAGAGACAAAAACAGAAGCGAAATAGTCTTGGTATTAGTCATTGTCCGAGAACCCCAGCCGCCAGTTTTACCACTATATCTTTGGACTCTAGGGTATGTGGATCCACTCCCGTTTGCACTAGTTACTTCATGGTCTTGAAAATCATGTATTTACTAAAAGGTCTAAATTTATTATATATATATTTGCACAGCAGGGAAATCAAGTAGTACCAGAAAGAGATGGAGACAGTCCGTACAAGAGGAAGTGCAGGAGCTGGTCATTTGAATGTTTGGAAGAGGAAGGGGATAGAACTCTAGAGCTTTTCCCATTGCACCCGGAAGGCAGATGAAGGGGTTTGAATAAAATTTCATTGAACTTTGTTCCATTTTGTGATCTACTTTGATGTGCTTTTTCTTTCTTTCTTTGTTTCGGGAAAGAAGAAAGATAAGTTGTCTCTCTGTACTCTACTGATGTATTATTTCTGACTTAATTAGAACCAAAGCGGTTTGTCACTCTTTATTCCATCTCATCAGTCTGTGGTGGTGGGTGTGAAACGTGATCCTTTTGACTACAGGAAAACTTGATGAAATTGAGCTTTTAGGTTAAAAGCAGAGACCTATGGACACTGAAGTCCACGCACCTACTTCTTCTCCTTAAGCCTACCCTTTGATATTTTAAGTTTCAAATGGGAAAAGAGATGTGTCCTCTTCTCTCAAAGTATAATAAATTGCACTATTTCGAAGACTTTCATAAAGTAGCATATCAACTTCAACTATCAGGAGACATGCAATTGCTTTTTCTTCTCTTTGGGATTGACATGCAATTTCTTTTTTAGAATAAAAGAATCACCTAGTGTTATGTGGGGGCCATTCATCAGCAGTTGCTCCAATAACTTTTAGGAGGGAAAAGATATATCAGCGAATTTCAAATTATTAATCATATGCTTCTATATAATATATATCATCTTGTGCATTAATTCATACTGAAATTAAATATATACTAGAGCTCATTATTGGATTTTGATTCACATCCAACACCATGCTACTAGATATCTATCTACATTCTTTTCTCCTTCCAAGTTCCAACTATACATTTAATCCTTTCACAGCATATACCACAAGAAAATTAATTTAGGAATAATATATACTTGGAAATTAAAATAGAATGTAGTTTCTCACTATATTGAATATAAGAAACTATCCTAAGTTAATGAGTGCAATAGTATCAGCGATGTCAACTCACTTACCATCAGTATATTCGCCGACAACAGTAGTCGGTTGGTCAGTTTTCAATTTTTAGAAGAGTATTAGAGTAAACCACATGTTCCCACCCAAGGTTAAGCAAAATGTAAAGTTTCCACCCCTAGTTTCATAAATTTTGGATTCCACCTTTAAATTAACATTGTTAATGAATTTAACAGTTAAGAGTGTGCTATTACTATACTACCCTTGACTTTTGATTTCAAGCACCTAGCCACTGTTAAGGCCAAAAAATGTCCTCGGCCCAAATAGGGAAACACCTCTAACAAAGATGAAAGCTCAGGCCCAACCCCGATGGGGCCCAAATCAAAATTCCACAAATGAGGCCTATTCGATATGAAGTGCAGTCAGATTTTACCATCTGGACCCAAGCCTACTGATCCTAGAACACCTCTGGGCTTACGGTCAATTCGGAGCCAACAGTTGCCTACGAATTACACTCCTACTAGAATTTTGATAAGGAAGTCAATTACTATCCCAATTCTTCCAAGGTCCGTATCAGAGGCACGTTCGAACTCCCTTTCCTACTAAGATAAAGGAGCCCAAGGATACACCCTTTGAGAGGACTACCACTACAAGGACTCCCAGTCCCACCAGGATTCGAAGACCATACAGTCACTATTTAAAGAACGGTCAGCCCTCTCACCAAGGACATATACATTACACCTTCAGACCCTGGAGTTCCCACTTGAGAACTTCGCATTACAGTCATAGTCACAATCCCCGACTAGACTTCCGGTAACCTTTCCTCTCCCTAACCCTCACTATACTAGCCTCACTCAGCCTTGCTGACTTAAGCGTCGAAGTGCCTACGGCGAACACCGCCCCGGTGTTTTCCGTCCGCTTCATGCTAATTTCCTCAAGTGTGCAGGTACAGCAGATCGTTAGTGGCCTCAACCTTACGGGATCGATCCCTTTTTTCGCGAAGGTAGATTTTTGCATCTACAGTTTGGCGCTCACCGTGGGGCCTCTAGCAATCATTCGTCTCACAAACCCTGCTCCGTGAAGAAACTCTCCATGGCTGACAATTCTGATAACACCAATCCTTGCCTCGAGGCCAAACTGCAGGCTCTGACCGCCCTCATGTAACAACACTCAGACAAGGTGGCTACATTGGAAGCTGAGAACACTGCCATCCGGACCGAAAATGCCTCCATCAAGGCTGAGAACCAATCTCTAAAAGAGAAGGTAAGTCAGTTTTATGATCTTGAGCTTCTGCCTTGTCAGGTACAACCTAATCGGTTTTGCGCCTCGATTTTGTCTATGCAACCCCTCTAGACTTCAGAGCATAGACTCGCAATCTCGGATACGAGGTCGCACCAGCTATGTTCGTCATTAGTTGACGATTCAGCCCTAATTGATAAGGAGCGGGGGCCGTCGATAGAGCCACTCTCGGTCAATCCGCTTCAGGCATGAGATCAAGGCGTCCAAGTGACAGAAAGCCCACCACAACAAGAACCACCCATCCTTGCCATTCCATCTCACCTTCAGTCAGTAATCCCTACCCAAACTCCACCTGGCTTGGCTTATCCTCGTAGGTCGAGCAGTCCCACACTCCTTCAAACTACCCTGCTTGAGTTCATCCATCCTAATGGGCCGAATGAATAGCAAATAACACCCCTTACAATCCATGTGGGGCGAAACACCTGATCGGTCACGAGGGGAGTCATCTAACCGGAGGGAATAAATGGGGATCAAAGCTACCAAGCGGCGCATAACGGAGTGACCCATCAGACTACACCACGCGGGTTGACCCACAAAAACACATCAGGTGCAAATCGCATGGCCAACCAAGTTAACCAGGACAACCTAATGGTATCCGCATCTCCCATGGAACATGTATTGGCCAAGAGACTGGCCGACATAGAGGCAGTGATAAGGCGCATACCCGGAATGCCTGTCCCAACAAAAAAGAGTCAACCTCACTACTATGCCGATTCACCCTTCGTGGATGCAATCGCGTTAGCCGAGATACCACACAAGTTCACCATCCCTAACATGAAACCCTATGATGGAACAATTGACCTAGATGACCACATAGCCTCCTACAAGCAACAAATGTTCGCCCTATCAATACCCCAAACACTGAGGGAAGCCTGCATGTGTAAAAGCTTCGGTTCAAGCCTCTTAGGCCCAACTCTTCAATGGTACACTAACCTCCCAAACTATTCGATCAACTCATTCGCCCAGCTCATTGACACCTTCGTTGAACAATTCGCTAACAGCAAGAAGCTCGAGAAACTATTGGCAGATCTGTACAAAGTCTATCAGAAGAGAGGGGAGCCGCTGAGAGAATACGTCAGTAGGTTCAACAAAAAAAAAAAAATCTTCATCCCCTCCTGTAACCCAGAGACAACAGTAGATGCCTTCAAGAAGGGTCTCCTTCCGGATGGAGAACTATACAAAGACCTGACGAAGCTCGGTTGCACTATGATGGAAGACGCATTAGCCAGAGCTGTAATTCAAATAAGGTGGGAGGAAGATGAAATGAACCGGATGAGGCATGCCAGGTATGATGACCGTCTCCAAAGACGGAATGATAGAAGGTCAAAGTCCAAATCGTTTGAGCCCCGTTACTAACCCCCTCCATGCAACCTAAACAAGGTTAAGAGACCATATGATCACTCGCCAATTAGAACTGACAACAGACCATCCGAGTCCAGCCAATACAAAATTTCGGAGTATAACCTCAATGTCAAACCAGCCCAGGTCGTGGCAATCATGAAAGGAATGGGACCTATCGTTATGTGGCCAAACAAGCTCAATCCCGAAGCAAGGAGGGACACTACCAAGTGGTGCGAATTCCACGGCGACCATGGTCATAACATTGCGGACTGCATCACCTGCAGTTGGAAGTCGTCACGCTACTAAAGAGGGGACATCTCCGAGATCTGTTGACAGATAAAGGGAAGAATACAATTAGCCAGAAAAGCTTGAAGGAAGCGTCTCCCCCCCACCGCAAAAACCTACACCAAAGGGTTTCTACTCCATTATCTCTGGTAGGTCAAAGATCAATGGGGTAAGCTACTCCTCAGCCAAGCGCTATGCTCGAGCTAACCATCACTTAGAAATCCAATCCAGCCATCTGCCCTCCTGGCTGCATACTAACCAGGTAATCCAGTTCGAAAATGATGAGTCAGTCACCCTAGCCACCCTTTATCACGACGCTCTAGTCATTTCCCTCCAGATTGCAAATATCCTAGTCAAGAGAGTATTCATAGATGGGAGATCCTTAGCAAACATTCTCTTTCTTGAAGCAGTGAAGGCTATGGGACTAGACGAAATAAACATCAGCAGACGACTAACTATACTGGTAGGGTTCAGTTCCGAGCAGAAGTACACCATAGGAGAAATTGCTCTCCCTGTCTACACCAGTGGAGTCAACAAGCAAACCATCTTTCTAGTGCTCGATTGTCCTTCACCATACAACGTCACCTTGGGCCAACCCTAGATCCACTACATGCGAGATGTTCCATCCACCTTCCACCAAACCATTAACTTTCCAACGAAATGGCGGGAGTAAGGGAAATCAAGGGCGACCCCAAGGCGTCCAGAGATTGCTACAAAAATACCTTCAAAAGCAAAGGTCACGCTTCATAGCAACTACAGTCTCATCCAACTATTCTGACTGAGCCAGATCAATCATCTATGGAGGAGTTTGATGAAGTGCAGATACACCTGGAAGACCCCGAAAGGAAGACCCAGATAGGCTCACGCCTCGAGCCCGAAATAAGAGAGAAACTCATAGAATTCCTTAAACAAAACCAGGATTGCTTCACTTGGTCCCACGCTGACATGACAGAAGTCAGCCTAGAGGCAATCGTCCACCACCTCAAAGTAGACCCGGATCACCCTCGAGTGAAACAGAGGTATAGGAAATTCGCACTAGAACGCTACCAGATTGTCAATGAGGAGGTCAACAAATTACTGAATAATGGCCTGATCAGAGAAGTCCACTATCCTGACTGGCTGGCAAACGTGGTGGTGGTGGTGAAGAAAAAGAACAGAAAATGGAGGGTTTGCATAGACTTCACGGATTTAAACAAAGCATGCCCCAAAGACTCTTTCCCGCTCCCGCATTTCGATATGATGGTCGATGCGACAGCAGGCCACGAGCTCCTAAGCTTCATGGATGTCTTCTTAGGGTACAATCAGATTTTCATGCACCCGGACGAACCAGGAAAAACCAGCCTTCATTATAGAAAGAGGGAACTATTGCTACAAAGTGATGTCGTTTGGTCTCAAGAATGCCGGGGCTACCTATCAGCGGCTAGTCAACAGGATGTTCACTGAACACTTTGGGGACACCATGGAATTATACATTGACGACATGCTCATCAAGTCTCTCATGGCCGAGCAGCACCTCGACCACCTCAACCAGACATTCACCATCCTAAAGAAGTATAACATGAAGCTGAATCCAGTCAAATGCTCGTTCGGGGTTTTATCAGGGAAATTCCTAGGATACATGGTAACTCAACATCGGATAGAAGCCAACTCTGACCAAATCCGAGCGATCCTCAACATACCATCACCAACTTGCATCAAAGACGTTCAGCACCTGGCAGGACGAGTAGTCGCCTTGAGCTGCTTCATCTCCAAATCCGCCGACAAGTGTCACCGTTTCTTTCACACACTCAAGAAATCTAAGAAGTTTGAATGGACCCCTTCCTGCGAGGGAGCATTGCAACAGTTGAAGAGATACTTAACCTCCCCCCCACTCATTTCCAAGCCCAAGGATGGGGAAAAACTTTACACCTATCTGACGGTTTTAGAGACAACAATCTCAGCAGTGTTAGTTCGGAAGGATAATACGAAGTAGCTATCGGTCTATTATGTAAGCAAGTCACTCCTTGACGTGGAGACACGATACAGTCAGTTGGAGAAACTTGCACTCGCTATCGTCCATGCATCCAGGAAGCTCAGATCATACTTTCAATGTCATTCCATAGTCGTACTCACCTCCTTCCCACTCCAGAAGATACTACACAAGCCAGAATTATTAGGCCGACTCACACAATGGACAGTAGAGCTTAGCGAGTTAGACATATCCTTCCAACCACGCATCGCCGTCAAATCCCAGGCATTGGCATACTTTATTGTTGATTTCACCCCAAACACCACCGTCTTCAAAGTGAACTCTCTCAATGGATGGCTCAAGCAACGTGAATGAAAGTGGGCTCGGCATCATACTTACTACTCGAGAAGGAGACGTCGTCCAATGGGCATACGATATGGATTCAAATGCACCAACAACGAAGCTGAATACGAGGCTCTCATCGCTAGACTCTCCTTAGCCAAAGAAATCGGAGTAAGGAAGCTGGAGGTAAAGTTCGACTCCCAACTCATGGTCAACCAGCTACAAGGCACTTACCAAACTCGCGACTCAAAGATGACAACCTACCTGAACCTGGTCAAAGAATTGCAGAACACCTTCGAAGAGTTCTCAATCACCCAAGTCCCAAGAACGGAGAACACCCATGTTGATGCCCTTGCTAACCTCGGCTCAGCCCTTGAATGTTCCTCCCAATCATCCATCCCTCTATTATTCCTCCAATGGCTAGGGCTACAAAAAATCGGTTAACCGAACTGGATACATGCTTTTTGTAACCGAACCGGTTTTTTGGTTCAAGCCATATTGCAAACCGAAATCGGTCTGAATTTTGCATAAACCGGTTTGCAAACCGATCCGAATTTTTAGTTTGCAATCCGATTAACCGGTTTACAAACCGATCCGAATTTTTAGTTTGCAATCCGGTTAACTGGTTTGCGAACCGGTTTTATTAATAATTTTTTTTTTGCGAATAGGTAGAACAACTGCTGTAGAGATCCAATAGATGCAGGAATTTGTCCAGAAAAACTTCAACCGACTAGAATTCTGGAAGGAAAAATAAACAGAACATGATTTTTATAAGGATTCTGACAGAAGTTTGCGGTTATCTAATGCTTTGACAGAAGTGAAGAGCTCATAATAAAATACAAATTGAGAGAAACCTCCTGTAGGTCCCATGCTTTCATGCTGTGTAATAAACCATATATAATTATCTCACAACAATAGAAGCATAAGAAAATATGAGGAAACACCAAAGTCAAAACAGAAACCTCCTATAGTTTAAAAAGTAGAAATTTAGGAAGAAGATGTTACACCTTTGGAGATTGGAGAGGGCAGCGGTGGCGACTGGAGTCTTGGAGAGTGAAGACTGGAGAGGGCAACGATGGCCGACGAGTTTGAGAGGAGAGGATGGGAGGAGGAGAGACGAGTTTGAGAAGAAGATGTTACACCTTTGGAGACTAGAGAAGGCAGCAGCGACTGGAGTCTTGGAGACAATGGAGAGTGGAGAGGGCAGCGACGGGCTGACGACCAACGAGTTTGAGAGGAGGAGATGAGGTATACGTTAAGTGTGTACTATGTAGTTGTCAGGGATTTCAAAGTTCAAACTAATATTAGATTTGGGTATTTAGGATTTTAGATAATAAAGGATTTTTAAAAATTAAAATTATATTATTATATTAAAATTATGAGAAAATCAGTTTCGGTTAACCGGTTTAGAAAGTGATATAAATCGTAAATCGAACCAAAAAACCGATTTAGCTATTTTTTGAAACCGAAACCGGTTTTTCAGACCTGTTTCGGGTTAACCGGTTTTGGTTCGGTTCGGTTTTTGGTTTTTTTTTTTTTTGCAGCCCTACCAATGGCTGGCCAACTGGAAGGAAGGACCAACGAACAAGTCGCCCGAAGAAGTAATGGACATTGAATTGTCTGATACCTAGATGACTCAAATAGTAAAATACTTGGAGCACAATGAGCTCCCAGTCGACAAGAATGAAGCATGCCGCCTGAGAGCGAAAGCCGCCAGGTTCACTATATACGAAGGCCAGCTCCTTAGGAAGTCATTCTCTGGTCCTTACCTCAAAAGCATAAGTCTATAAGAAGCCAAACGAGTTCTCGCCGAACTCCATGAAGGCGAATGTAGAAACCACGCCAGAGGACGCAGCCTTGCCCACCGGGTGATCACCGCTAGCTACTATTGGCCAACTATACGCACTGACTCAGTAGCTTATGTGAAGAAGTGTGACAGTTGCCAAAGGTTCGCCCATGTCTCCCACCCGAACGACTCAACTCCACTCTCACACATTGGCTGTTCATGAAGTGGGGAATGGATATAGTCAGAAAGCTCCCAACCGTGCCCAGGCAGCGAGTTTTCATGTTGGCTGTTACCGACTACTTTAATAAATGGATCGAAGCCGAAGCACCCACACAAGTCAGAGACAGAGAGGTAAAAGCTTTCATTTGGAAGCATGTCATCTGCAGGTTTGGGATACTGAAGGAAATCATCACCGACAATAGATCTCAATTCATCAGTTCAGAGATTTCTGCGACATGTGGGGAATCAAGCTCAACTTCTCTACCCCCCGCAACACCCAATCCAACGGCCAGGCCGAATCATCAAATAAAACTATCATGCAAACTTTAAAGAAACGACTACAGAAAGCCAAAGGCACATGGGCAGATGAACTACCCGGAGTCCTTTGGTCCTACCGAACGACAACTCGCTCATCTATGGATGAAACCCTTTTCT